CACAACCAACGATCTACTCCCTCCAGTGCCTGGGATACAAGGATGATGCAGAGAAGGAGCGGACCGTCTTTGCGTACCGACTCCCACTTCACGATACTGACGATAATTCGATGCCAGTGCAGAACAACCTGACGACCTTGCACAGCTTGATAAACCAAGTAGACCCTCAGACCAAGCGGCCCACAAAGCCATCGCTTGAGGATCGCTTCGCCATCGCGCACTGCCTCGTACTAACCACTCTCAACGTCCACGGTTCGCTCTGGTTGCACAAGAACATTTGGAGTCGAGGTATTCTTTTATTTGAGCAGACGCAAGACAATGGCGTTGAGCTTATGTCCAAACTGACCCTCACTACAACCGCGACGTCCAGCAAAGGCGGACTACGAAAACCGCGCCTTCTCGCATTCCTCAGCGACTGGGGCTATGCTCGCCCAGTCGAAGGAGCGACTGATATGCGTAGTGATTTCGAAATTGAACCTAACCTTTACCGCCACCCCGACCGTCAGGGCGATCCCACACGACCATATTCCCGGCTCCATGATATATACGCGTTAGGCGTGGTTCTGTTGGAGATTGGGTTGTGGAAGACAGTGTCTCGCCTCTTCGAAACACGCATTAAAGAGGGCCAGCGTACTCGCAAACTACCTAAAGGTCGCGACGTTCGTGCTGCGTTAACATCGCTGGCCCAACGTGACCTACCCAAGGAGATGGGTAGCGCTTATGCCTCTGCAGTTGTGGCCTGCCTTAGTGGCGACTTTCGCAAGGGAAGTGATCCGGAACTTTCTCTGGATTTTCGCGCGAAGGTGCTTGACTGCGTAGCCGAGGGATTGCGGCTTTGACCTGGAGCCAACACCTGTCCTTTGAGCAGCATCCTATAGCGCACTGAAAGACCTTATGATCATTATTCCGTGTATGCCTCATCTAGTAGACTAATTACCAATTGGCGTTCGTATCAAACCAGTGTTTGCACCTGCCATCTACGCTCGTTGTCCAGCGCTATAGTTGATTCTAGCCGTCGACTGCCCTCTGATTGACAAAAATCCTCGACATTATCCCTTCCGACGAGGTAAAGATGTATTCAGGGAACATTCCAGTAAGTGTTTGAGTGTGTGCTTCACGATGAAGATTGCATTGGATGCTACCGAATCTAGGGGATCATCTTGATAGCAATTGGTCCCGTTTGGTCCTCTACTTTGAACTTGTCCACATCCCCTCCCAAAATATAGTTCCCATCCTTGATCTCTTTTTCACTGAGTCGGTCATCAAGCGAGCACAAATAATTCCCTCCCTGTGACCATGTGTGTAGGTTCTTTCCTTTGAGTTCGCCTTCTACATCACCCCAGCACCACCATAGAACCTCACATCGACCATGGTTGACTGTAATCTCGAACTCTTCCCCGGGTGTAATATCTTCCGGACTAAGTGTAGAATGTTTGAATAGCCGGTCAAAAGATATTTCATAAGGTACCACGATGCCCGTACCATCAGCTGGGATGGTAAGGAGGCGGTACCCTCTTTCAGACAAGCTTGGCCCTTCAAAGTCGTCATGATAGCGCGGTCTAATAATTCCAAAATCGATGACTCGCGATGGATCCTGCCTAGAGACGGCACCAAGCCCAAAAACGCCGATTTCTAAAGCCTCACCTGCAAACACCGACCGGTCGGCGGTGATGGTGACTGATCGGCCCGGGCACGTGGAATGGATGATGCGGGCGCAGACAAACACCTCAAGAGAGTGGGAAGAGGAAAGTGACAGAGTCGACGAACTCGTTGTTAGGCTGAGAGCAATAGTCACTCCATCATCTGCAGAAGGCGAGTTCATTGACGCAGAGAGTGAAGTTAGCTGAGATGGCAAGCAAGAAAGTACAAGCGGAATGGTTGGAAGAGTCAGCACCGTCGGCAGCAAATAAGAAAAATCTAAGCCTACGGAATCACCGGTATTCAGCCTTGTGCACTCAAGATCAGCATGCCATTTTCGTTCCTACATTGGTGGATATGGCCCCCAGCCCTGCGAATGACCCGCGCTCTAGTCCCACAATGCGCGCGCGGTTTGCAACGCTACAGCTGCAGGTAGGATGGACGCGTAAAAGATCCCTCTTACTGTCAGGATTGTAATTGAACCATACATTCCATCCAGGTAATCCAAGATCGTCTGAGTGAATGTCTACGATTATAAGGAAAGAAAAACAAAATAGATAAAACGCCTGAGATTGTTACTGCTATAGTAGAACATTGCAATCCCTTTCAATTGTCAGTATCATTATACTATATAATGTGTAATGGGACGGCTCACTGCTAGCGCCGCCGCCTAAGAACGCGGAAACTAATGTCTGATGAATTGTGAGGACCCGAAGAAAAATGGAACCTTCCATTCCTGCCTTGGATTGGTCATAGTGTGTAGTTACTGCTGATAATCACTGGCATATTCCTATGATCAGCAGTTATCTCTCATGTCCACTTCTGATTTGAGATTGTGGAGGTTAATACGGAGTAATGAGCTGTAATATGCGAGGCCCAGGTTGCAAGGGATGTGCCAATTAGGAAAGGATTGTCAATTCCGTTTTGTGTCAAACCTAACAGAGACTACTCAAAGACATAGGCCATGCAATAGAGGAAAATAAAGCCATTAGTTCAGCATATCGCGAGCTTCTCCAGCCGTGCGATGTTTGATGCGTCAACATGATTTAGTTGGACTCCGTACCCAGACTATCGCTTCAATATGAGATCATTTACCCCTTTGCCATGTCAAAACCATGGGAGCAGATGATTCGGGCCTCTCAGAGTCCTAGAATTGCAAGTAACATGGCCACACGACCAGGCTGATGGTTGCATTAGCTGTGTTTGTTGTTAATGATGGCCTCTTGGTCTTCCGTGTCCGCACGGGGCCATGAGGTGGAACCTTCAGAACACGTCGTTCCTCACAGCAAGGAAGAAAACTTTATTTTGAGGATTAGAAAGCATCATTCAGACGCGAAGCGTTTCTGCAAGTAGACGGTTCTCCGCCACGCGAATGACAGGGATCCAACGCAACGCGCAGGATCTACGCGTCTCGCACGGATTCTGGATCAGACCGCCATACCGAGAGAGGCTTCTAGGGAATGATTTGCACGCCCTCGGCGTATCACAATACAAACGAGGGGTCAAAATGCGCGATCAATGACACTAATCAGAACTTGCGGATATAGAGAACCCAGATCACACACGAGGATTGACGTTTCATAGAGTGTCAAAGGATGATTGTTTCTGGATACGGCCGAGACAGGAGGGAGTTCGGCGAATTCCCTGCCGCAGCTATTCATATTTTCTGCAATAACTCGAACAGTTTCCTAGTCGATTGGATCTGTCACCCACGCGATATGATAGTATTATGGGTGGCAAAGTTTCAGTAGAAGCCACATAGCGGGGATACCTGTTCCCACTGACCTGGTGATTCGCTTGTCATTGCTGGACCCGACCGCGGACAAGGCAGCTCGGAACCCTAAATGCGCATGGACGGCAACCTCGGTGGATGCATCACTTTCCATCAACAGAAAGATTGAATGATGCCCTTGCATGGGTTCTTCAACGCAGGCTATAAGTATGGCCCGGATGGAGTGCCATGTGGCAATAAGTAGGTTGTCACTTTAAATGTACCAGAACCAATCCACTACTTTAGTATACAACATGGCAGACTACAACGGCTTAGGCGCTCTGCCGCGTCATGTCGATCGGAAAGCCCTCTATACAGACCTTGAAGCTCGCGTCCGCTATCTGCAACAGTTCATTGGCTTCACTGCCGGTCAGTCGTCCCGTATCTCGTGTCTAGATGTCTCCACGACGGAGGCAGTTCAGACTATATCACTGACACAATGCTCCAGATGATGTTATTGCACTAAACAAAGGATCCAAGTACATCAAAGCACTAGCACCCACCCTTGTCGATCGCGTATACTCCAAGCTCCTGGAGGCAGATATAACAGCCCGTGTATTCAAGACCCGCAGCACAACGTCGGAGGAGGATCTTGACGAGTATCCCGAGTTCAAAAGCCCTTATATACAATGTCGCCGAATGTTCCTCCGCTGGTACATTACTCGAATATGTTCTGATCCGACCAAGATCGAATTCTGGGCGTACCTCGACAAAGTCGGGTAAGCGTCGGACTGGTTTGACGATCTGGATCTGCCAACTGACAGCTGAACTAGGCGTATGCATACGGGGAAAGACCGCATGATCTCCTTTGATGTGGAATACATACACATCGGCGCGTGTCTCGGGTACATTCAAGATGTGCTCATCGAAGGAGTCATGGGGTGCGACAAGATGTCACTCCCCTTCCGGGTTGCGCTGATCCGTGCACTGGGGAAAGTGATCTGGATTCAGAATGATTTGTTTGCTCGATGGCGATGTAGGGACGGTGCCGAGTTTGAGGCGGAAGTTGAAGCAGTCCATCGAGATCAGAATTCGACAACGAACGCGACTAATGTCAATGCGAACACACGCGATCAGCGGGATGAGGAGACAAGCAGCGTACGGAGTACCTCGTCTTTCCGGGCCGAATCTGCTAGCATTTTCTCCGATCGTCAGTCGACTGCACGCACATCAATTAGCATTAGCACACAGCAAGCGGCCACGGGCTATCCTGCGTGCCCGTTTTCACCTGACTATGCGCCATCGTACGAAACAAAGGTTTGGTCTGATACCGAAAGTGGTCGCTGCTCTCGGTGACGTGAGGATCACGAAGCAGGCGAAAATGGTAGTTGATGTCGACCTACATAGTATAGAGCCAATTTTCATGAGAATAGAAATGCACCATGTTAATGTGTATTGAATGAAGGAGGTGGGGTATGTACGGCCGGGTATTGACGGGTAATTTATCCACGGTCGGGCTACCCCGAACACCGACAAATTAATGAAGTAGAACTTCATATTCTACTTCATATATACTAGAAATCCACAAGATTTGTACAGGGGAGATATAGGACAAGCTCTCCGGTATCACAATGTAGTTGCAGCGGCACAATCACGGTTTGACAAAGGTTAAAAAGTCGAGGCTCAGGTCAGTGAAGAAGCTGGCGCCCGCGACCGGGTTAGGGGCATCTGCCACCGTCACATTGCAATATTCATCGAAGCTCCCCGCAGCTTCGCTCTTTTTCCCGAGAAGGGAGATATAATCAGACAATAGGCAACTCCGGCCTGGTCCATTTTGGCAGTGGGCAATGGGGTAGACCGCGTCGTTGAACAGTACGCGGATATAGGTTTTGTCGTTCATTCGACGTCGCGACTCGACCTCACAACTCAACACTTCAAAGGCAACAGTGCCCCGCATAGTGATCCAGTTGGCAACATTATACAGATGGTAGGCGGGGAGCTGGTCGATGGGTAAGGAGGGCTCGTCATCGAAGATGCCCATGGCAGCGGTCATTTCCGCGATCTGATTGTCATTCAGGAAGGCCATGATCAGGTTGGGAACGGTGAAGTTACCACCATCCGCATCGATGCCAATCTGACCTGGACCCTTGCTTAAGAGGTCCATCAGGCTGTTTAGGAAAGGTAAGAATAGCACCTTGGACGGGCCGACGGAACCAGGGCCGACTTTGTAGTAGTAGCTCAAGTCCTGCGAATAAGCGTAGTTGCGTAGCTCATCCTCGGTGAACACTCCGCACCAGGGGCTCAGACGTCCGGTTATCTGACTTTCATAGCCGCACATATAGGGGAAGAAGAGTATATCGCTCTCGTCGAAGGTGAGATTACCACTGACGAGGGAGTTGATGCGTTCGAGCGCCTTGGGAGTCCAGGTAGCGTCGACTGTCGCGGAGTCAGCCCGGTCGCACGTATGGAGTTCCTCCGAGACATACAATCCGTAACATTATTTCCCCCGCTAGAGATTGAGGAAAATGCAGGACACATATCAGAGGGTCCTAAAGAGTTGCCGATAGCGCTGATGGAGCCGGTCGAGTTCACGCTGACCACGGTGCCGTAGGTGTCGGCATACTCGTAGAGGTACCCATTGACAAAGGCACGGGCGGTCTGAACGACTCTCGACTCGTTCAGCGGATACTGGTAAGCATTTGCCCATGCATAGAATGGGGTTCCATCTTCGTAGAAGTGGGGATCTGTCATGTCATTAGTCACAAATGAAAATGAGCATAGGGCTGCAGTCTTACACCGGGCCCGTAGCTGGTAGCCCAGATCGGTCGCCTACACACAATTAGTGTTCATACCATGTTGATGTTCGTGAATGGGCAGATACCTCCTTCCATCCTGTCATTGACTCTTGAGACATTTGCAGGCTTGGATTGGTCAAAACTGGAGTCCATTCTGGGATGAAGGCCAGTGATCCGCGGGCCTCAAAGCCGGTGCTATTGACGGCAGCTTGGATCTGGTATCGGAGGTTAGTATGAATGGCGGTGCCTTGACACATTACTGCGACGGATGTAACAGACCTTTCTCTTGATACCAACCCATGATTCATAGGAGCCAGAATCTGGGAAGCTGCAGTCCAAGCTTAGCGCTCAAACACCTAGGCGCAGTACGTCGTGGAGCACTTACCGGCTGCCGTGCCTCACCACATAAGCCGCTTGCTGGACCGAGCACTTATCTGGAACGCTACTGTCGATACCGAAGACATTGGGGCCTAGGAATACAAATAAGGATAACTATCGCCACAGAATGGAAGGAAAAGGTTTCGTACCAGCGAAGTAAGGGCTATTTCCGCCGGCATATTGCAGGGGATTTTGGTTTGTCGGGGTCGACGGGAATAAGATATCATTAGTGGGAGCTAGGACTTGGGCATTGCTCCCGCTAACCACTATCAACAGCCATAAAGAAATGACCGACGGCCTGAACGAGTTCACCATGTTGAGCCGATAAAGCGAAGACTGGGAGAATATTGGAATGAGCTGTGTGCCATCCAATAATTCAGGGGCGAGGGGGACTGTTCAGTGATGTTTAGATAGCTTTATATAATTTTCAAATACCTTGAATGCACCTGCCGCTACGAAGTAGCGTGGCATGTCGTAGGAGAATTACAGTTGGCGGTCGCGTCCGACGGTAAGACTAAGTACTCCTAGTACAGCGCTAGTGATGGAATGCGTTTTGCCGTCCTATAGTCCGTCCACGTGCCAGTTGGTATATTAAGTTGAAATCAAACGAGGCGAAGCGGCCCTTTCAAAGTAATTTGCGGTTGCCGAGCGGGGCGGCCAATCGCATAAGATGGAGCACAACGTGAACATTTACTCCCAGGTTCATAACTGCGATGATCTTTTGTTCCACAACAAACCCCTTATTGGTAGTAGTACTATGGTACGGCAACCTCCACGAAGACTTGATGGAATGCAGGTTAGGCTATAGCGACAATAGATATGCTATATACAGATCAGCGATGTGAGCAGGATGTGCCATGGAGCGCTGTGTTAAATCCAGTCCATCAACCAATCGATGCGAACGGCTGCATCTTATTACCACTACTGCTGAGTTGATGCGTATTAGTACCCGGCCCATGTGTCCCGGGCATATCAATTTCAAATGAAGCCGGTCTATGTGGCGCCTCGAATCAGTTCGGAGCCAGCGAGCAGGTAGGCCGTTTGTATATGATAAAGCAGACAACATGATTGAAGTAATTTCAAGTAGTTGACCAGGGGTGGATTGCTTCCAGGATCGATCGTGAGTCCGGCTACTGACAGCTGTAAAACCCCACATTTGCCTTTATTACGCTTCTTACTGTATGTCTCCCGATGTGATGGGAGGGCGTCCCGAATGTGCGACCGCATGATTTGACATATTTGCGCTGAACAGTCCTCCGTGTTTGGCGGCTGAGACACCCGTGCTATCTTTTGATCGTGCCATCTGTATAGGCTGGTTGATGCTCGGAAGTAGCGGATTATACAGTAGCGTCTGATACGTTGACACAAACGAGTGCTGTCCACTCCAATAGTCTCAAGCATAGCATTGCATGTCTTACTCACACGGTCAACCTAGTAATGCGACCTGCTATTCTCCACACACCTCTTTTCCTCATCAAAGTCTCCGGTACACATTCCTTCGAGACCAAATCCCGAGTATTACTCATTTTGTTGTTGAACTCTATTACTAGCCCTCGACAAAGCATTGGAATTCAGTACCACCACCTCTCTATCTCCAAGGCGTCGAAAACATGTTACAATAGTAATTTGTTCTCTAAGAAGCCCCATCTCTGGCAAACCGGTTTACGCAGCGCGTAAATGAAATGCCCGATATACTGTAGCTGATGCATTATCGTACGTGCTAAAGCTCAATAGCGGGCTTCCAGGCTGAATGCAGTGCCTGATCCGATGTGCATTAATAAAGAACCAGTGACAGTGATTGAACCCCAGGAGGGGAGATATCTCCGCGATACCTTGTGCACTGGCCAGTGTAGCACACATTCGCCTTATGTGGGACCTAGGAACTCAGGGTCAGACATAGTAGCCATCAATTTCGTCAATGGCAAAGAAAGTCCCAATTTTTATGGCGATCAATCAGCAACTTGCGTGTACGCTTTTCCTTCATTATAGGACATGTCATTATTTTCGCCCGCTCCGTAACTCGTGATTCATATTACGAAATGGTTATTTGGGTATAGCGATAGAAGTGTTGACCGTAGACGTCCCCAGTAGAAGGCGAGATGGGCTGTGGTTATCTCAAGTACTTCTAATTACAACGCTGTCACAGGTGATACATGGATGGAGGCGGGGGATCCATAACAGCAACACAACCCTCATGACCGGCTACAATGTTAGAGCGGCTACCGACGAGAAATGAATCCGCCGGGGAACAGAGGGAGTAATAGTCTGTAGTTCTTTATAAATCTATAGTAGCAAGCAAGTTTGTCAGGAATGAACGAGCACATTATGATGAGTGTTCCAACTCTACGTTACGCAAAAGTGACCAGATCACTGTGGTTGGAAATCCCAGCTACCGCGCTCATACATTTATATCCAACTTGCGTGGAAATATTCGGCCTGACACATCATGTTCCAAAAGAATGTATACCTTCATTATTACTGCTCCTCGGAGGCTAATGTCACACGCTGATTTGATTGCCGAGTGCCTCCTTCCACCAATTGTTCCCATTCTCCCGATACCACTGGACCGTGTCGGCTAGTCCTTCCTTGAAGCAGACGCTTTGAGACCATCCGAGTTCCTTGAGCCTGTCACCCTTGACAACATAGTCATTGTCATTGTATGGCCTATCTGGCATGGGAACAATGAATTTATCAAGTTCTCCCCTTTTGTCATGCCCAAATTCTCCCAAAACTCCAATCGCGACATCACGCACTGATACTTCGTCTGATGAGCTGACGTTATAAACACCCCCGGGAACGCCCTTATGAAGAACCATATCATATGCAGCAATTACATCAGCGACGTGAACGAAATTCCTAGTACGGCTGCCGTTGCCTTGGATTGTCAACTTCTGGCCGTCCCTGGCAAGTAAAGCAGATTTGGGGATGAGCTCTGTGAGAAAAGGTCAGTATTCATGGAGAGGAATGGGGCAACTAGCCTTACTCTCGGGGTATTGACAGGGTCCATAAATGTTATTACACCGTAGAATCATGCCGGGAATATCAAAGCTCTTCCGATAGGCCATGACGAACATTTCGGCTGCAGCTTTGCTAGCGGCATAAGGATTGGTAGGGTTCATACGCGTGTCTTCGTCCACACTGACCCCCCATGTTTCCCCATACACCTCATCAGTCGAGGCATGTACAAATCTATGAACCATCAGCTATAATTGAGAACGGCTGCTGAAATAAATACGTTGTAATTTTTCCATGGGTGTTCATTGCTTCCAGTAACCGAAACGTCGCACACACATTCATGTCCACAAAAGCAGCAGGATCGCTAAATGACTTCTGAACGCTGGACTCTGCTGCAAAGTGTATGACGCTATCGATGTTGTACTCGTCCATAATCTTGATCAGGCGTTCCTTGTCATGGAGATTGCCTTGAACAAAGTGAAAGTTGGGTCTGTCCAGAACCGACTTTAGATTGTTCAAGGTAGACACATTGCTCAGCTTATCAAGGCAGACAACGCTGTACTGTTCCCCATATTGATGAATAAGGTGATGGCACATCCAAGATCCAATGAATCCTGCTCCTCCAGTAACTAGGATATTCTTCACGTCACAATTAGGCCGAACTGTGGGACCTTTGGTCATAGGAGTGATTGTAGTGATAGTCATGGTGAAATAAGGCTTTGGAGACGGGACGTTCTCTTCGATGCTTATGATATGACTAATTTCAGTGGGAGTACACTCACAGAGTAGGGGGGTCACAGGGTAGGTATTTATGCTAGGACCACATTATTGCCACGGTGAGCTTCATCAATTCGAAGAACCAGGCTTCCTGCAGCGGTGTGACATTCACATACCCTGTAATAGCTCGTTACTTCAGGTTGTCTTTAACTTAATCCATGCATCCGCCTTGTAAAGGACATTATCTGGTCTAATTAAAACAAGGGGGAGGAGCTTTCCCAGACGTCATTCATCACCACAATATGAGACTTTGACATCATTACTCCCCCTATTGCCTTGAACAGTTGGAAGGTGAACTTTAAATCACTGGTTTTCAATGCCTTCAGGGATTGTTCTGTAGCGTGTGCCATATATCACGAGTCAATGTCTGTCGAAGACGGTGAGAAGACACGACTTCTAGTGACGTATACTAATCCAGTTTCATCTGCAGGAACCTAGATTTGGTAAACTATATGACAAGTCAGGATACGTACGACGGAAGGATAATGTGGCGTGACGACACATGGAATTCCTTACATGTGAACCTAGGCCATTTGAGATTGGATGGCGGACCCAAAGCAGGGCCTCATCTATATAAGTATCATGCGTTACTACTAAAAGCCTCCATCCATGGGAAAGATACCTACATCATTGAGTAGGGAACACAACTTTCACCGCTGCTATAAACTGAAAGATACTCTGTTTGATACAACGTCTACCAAAAGGGTTTACACTATGGGAGGTCAAGCACCGACTAGATTTCTTCTATTCGGTAAGTGTTCTTCTCATAATTCCCGTCCACATCCCGTCTGACGTCTAAAGGCAACGGTTGGGTTTCCGGCCAAATTCAGGAAGCCATAAGAGGAGGGAGTGATGAGCTGGTTGTCTCCCAAGCACGAATAGAAAATCGAGAAGAAGTTCTTAGGTCTGCCCTTCTGACCCCTTTCAAATCTTTCTTTCACTTTCTCATTTAGTGGCACTCAGTGAGCTTGCCAAAGTAAGACCGTCCCATGTCATCAATGCCGCAGGAAAGCGCGGTGATCCCAACGTGGATTGGTGCGAATCACATAGAGAGGAAACAATTCGTTCCAACATACTTGGTGCAGTGAACCTGGCTGATTGCTGCTTCATCCACGACGTGCACCTCACCCATTTGGGGTCGGGATGTATCTACGATTACAATGAGGACCATGCATGGGACGGTCCGGGCTATACCGAGGAGGATGAGCCAAACTTTACGAAAAGTTTCTATTCTAACACGAAGGTTTTATCTGAAAAGGTATGCTTGCATCATCCTGCCATTTTGAGGAACCAATGCAGCTGATCCCTCCTTGGTAGGTTTTGAGGAACTACTCCAATGTGTTGATCCTCCGTATCCGCAACCCTATTGGCGCAGACTTGCACCCTAAAAACATGATTACCAAACTCGCTTCGTACAAGAAGTTGATCAACGTCCCGAATGTAAGTCAGAGCCACCCTTACCTCAGTTAGTACTGACAACGATCTAGTCAGGGAGCATTTTTCCCAGCCTGATTCCTGCCATGATCTTGCTCGCAAGGCATAACAAAACAGGAACATACAACTTTGTGAGTCCTTTCAATGGATATTAGGTTCATGTCTAATTTAATGTAACGGTAGACCAATCCTGGGTCGTTCACCCACAATGAGGTCATGGATCTGCTTAAGAAGCATATATGGCCTGAACTTCAATGGGAGAATTTCACAGAAGAAGAGCAGAGAAAGGTTCTTATGGCTCCACGATGCAACACAACTCTTGATGTTGGCAAGCTTGAAAGGAAGCTGTCTGAATATGGATATAGGCTTCCCACCGCACATGAAGCAATGGAGGATGCTTTCATCAAGATTAAACAAAGCGGAAATCTGAATGTATAATACCAGGCCTTTGGAAGCTTTTGTGCTTATTTGGACAGTGAGAGTGGACATTGTTTCTGCGCATTCATACCTGTCATCTTAAGGGTGTGTCTGTGAGTTGAAAATTTGAGAATGAATAAAGCCGCTTCATGAAGTCGAAGAAATACAGTATGTATGCTGAAAGGTTATCATAACTGAGTTTCTGTGCTCGAGTCCTGATCTGTCAGAGTGTAATGAAGACCGTATTCCTATGCCCTTGAGAAGCGACCAGATAGGCTGGCTGTGTACCGGACAACCTCTTGCAGCCTGCCGTACCAAAAAGGCTTTCTCCAGACAAAATGAGAAGGTATCATTTGGCCTGGGACATAATAAATGCGGGCGCAGCTGTATCCTGAGAAGGACTGGGTGCCGCACGATCAAGTTACACAAGATAAGCTTCTCTTGCAGAGAGCCAGATTGGAAGGATAGGTCGAAGGTATCATTATCTCATTGGGTGGTGCAGCCCACCGATGGACAAGATTTCAGCCAATTATGTTGTTGGTGGCCTTACGGTCTGCGCCGCCAGCAGCCGGAATGCAGGGGTAGTACAACCACCAATTTGTGAAGATTAGGGAGAAAGCCTCCTCTGCAGGCTAATTGGTTAACTGAATATTGATTGCCTTTCATCAACTAGGTGACTCCGATGAGGCATCCCCAGCTTGTCTCGCGGTCATATCTGGAATCGTCGCAAAGTGGCATGCATCATCGGGTTATGGTTCACATCCCAATCAACTTAGGTGGACAAACGTCCAATGTGAGGGATCCTGCAAAGAATGGTTGGAGCTGACGGCTAACCACTCGAGCACATCGACAACGCCTTACCATAATGGTAAGTGGCTACATCCTGCACATGCCGCCAGACAATTTTTCAAGCATTTTGTGATCAGCTCCGTCACCTTTTTAAGCTCTGCTAGTTTGGTATTCCCTGAATATCCTGCAGGCGGCTACTTAAGGCAAGGGCTACGACGTCAGCCAAGACAGCCTTTGCTGACCGCGGGACACGCGCACTTGAAATTTATCACTGTACTCTATCCTTAGCCTGTCTTCCAATATGTACATAGTACCGAGAGGATTTAGTTTGATTGCTTTTGGGCCGAACTGGCTAGGCACAGAGAGTATGTACATGACAATCATTGCTCTGGTTATTGCCGCTCCAGAAAAACTACCTTGCTACCATACTCCGTATCAAAGCTATACTGCAACCCCATATTCATCAGCGTTGCACCCGAGTAAGTCTGGTCACCATCAACAGTATATTGCGCCTCAGGGTCCAACCCCTGTAGCCGAACCCACGGCACGGCATGGTTGACATTTGGCTGGACCTGGAAGTAAAACAGAACGGCTTGGGCGCCATCCTCGGACACGAAAAGTGCTGCAGGCCACTGGGAGTCTTGAGGCAGGCGTAACCGGTACAGATCTCCGTTCAAGACGATGGGGTTCACTTTCTCCGCCAGCGCAAGGAGCTCGGGGACTATGGCGTCACCTTCCACCGTGGCTGGGTCGAGCTCCAAGCCGAAAGAGCCACCCATCATAGCAACGTGAGCGCGGAACGTAATAGGCACAGTGCGGCCAGTCTGTGCATTAGGAACCGCGGAAAGGTGGGCTCCCATTGCCGATGGCGGGTAGGCAAGTGAGGTACCGAATTGAATGGTGATTCGGTCGATCGCGTCGGTGTTGTCAGAAGCCCAAATCTGGGGGAAATACTGCAGCACACCGGCATCAAAGCGGCCGCCGCCTGAGGCACATCCTTCCCACAGTACATCCGGGAAGCGGGTGGTCAGCGTGTCGAACACCCGGTAGAGCCCTAGCATGTACTGGTGGTCAGTGGACGGGGACGGAGTCTCGTGTATTCCCCGGTTGTTGTCCCATTTAACATAAGAGATGCCTGGAGTTTGCAAGAGGTTTGTCATGAAGTCTATGATGAACTCCTGCACAGCCGGAAGCGCCAGGTTCAGAACGAGCTGGTTCCGACGCTCGGTACGGGGGTAGGGCCCAGCATGAAGCGCCCAGTCCGGATGTTCGTGGTAGAGAGTGGAATTGGGGTTGACCATCTCGGGCTCCACCCAAATACCAAAACGAAGTTTTGTGGAGTCTGTTCCATTGACGGTCATATTCGTAATGTCTTGCACGACTGGGGTCAACCCGTCTGGGAAGCGCGCTGGGTTGGGCATCCAGTCTCCCAGCCCGGCATCATCGGACACGCGAGGGTACTTGTCACCAAACCAGCCGTCGTCCATGACAAAGAGGTGGACACCCAGGGCAGCGGACTCTTCGGCCAGAGTCTCAATGCTGCTTTGGTTATAGTCAAAATAAACTCCTTCCCAGCTATTCAGGAGAACGGGACGGTCGGAAGTGGCGAACTTGCTCTTCATGAGGTGGTTTCGATATAGTCGGTGGAATTTGCGAGACACTGAGCCGAGTCCTTGGTCCGAGTATACTGCAACACACTCCGGGGAGGTCAGGGTCTCGCCAGGACCAAGGTTCCATGACAATTGATCTGGGTTGAAGCCCAACAGTGCCCGGGTGAAACCTTGCGATCCTTTTTCTATTTGGGCAGAGAAAGAGCCTGTATAGATAAGGTTAAAGCCCCATGCCTCGCCTTGCGATTCGGTAGTAGCTGGATCTACTATGGCAAAAAAGGGATTGTGAAGGTGAGAGGAGTATCCAGTACTACTTCCGAACCTAATCCCCCGTCAGCAACGTCACAGTGTCGGTTCTATGATAAGCGACTTACCCCTGGATGCCATACTGCACTTTGCTTCTCTGAACATTGGCCTCTCTGGCCCAGTCACCACGAAGGCTGACCAAGTCAAGGTCTTTGTAAGGGAAATCGATGCTTATACTTGCAAGGGCCTCGATGGTGATATTACTCGGGCCCTGGTTAGTCACATTGACACTCCTCACGATGGCATCATATTTCGGAAAAATGGAGTATGACAAGTCGGCGGCGACGGAGCTATAGTTGTCATAGAGATGGACTACCAAAGTCGTAGCGTCTTGTGCATCTCCAAATGTGGCAGGCAGGCCAGGCAAAGCATTCTTACCCGCAATCACCTCGTGCGACACATATTGAAGATCGCTAATAGTATAACCTGCCGATTCCCGGATACGAACGGCGGGAATGCGAAAATCACCACGGCCTTGGTCAGGGAACTCCCGACGGATTCGACCAGGCATGCCAACCCAGCCATTGACAGCGGGTTCCACTGGCGATGGGATTGTGCCGGTGACGACACCACCGAAGTGATCAGAGATCAAGTCTCCGGTGGTGCTGTTAACATGGAACCGATATGAGACATTGTCGCCGTTCAACGCAAAATCAGTGCCATTCGCAACGATCGCTATAAAATCAGCTTGCACTCTGATTGAAGACGCGGCGTTGTCGCATCCCTCACGACCCGCATGACATACCCTGTGAATTTGAAGCCCCAACTGCGGGAGCCGCTGCAGAACGACCGTATAATGTAAAGAGGCCCAGGGCCACCACAGCATGGGACGACCCGATCATGGTGATGATTTGTGGTGGGTGAGTGAAGCATTCCTTCCTCTCACCGTCCTTTTAACCCCGGACGGGGTTGACTGCATCCGGGGAAATATCGGAGGGTATCCCAGGTTGTTGCTGGCCATCTTTCCCCAGCGCCGGCTTGGCACCCCCACGCCTCATTCCCTAAGGTGGCTGGGATCATCCTGCCATGCTCGTCAAGACTACCTGAGCGGAGAAGAGGGGACAATCTGGGGATTGTTATTGCACCGTCTTCGGCTTGGCTCGATGGTTCAAGCTGCAAGATCAGCTCATTGCAGTAGGTTTCTCCCCCTTGGCCGCGGAGTTGCCCCGGATGGTCCGGAAACGGGGATGCCGTTCTTCTTTCTGGGGCATTCGGTGTGCTGTTTGTTCAGTTTGCATGCACTGGTTTTGACACTTGGGAAAGGTACAACAGGAAACGAGAGCAGGATCAGAAATACACAACAGTACTAAGGTGACAGAAAACCAGAATCACGCAATACACCAGTTATCCATATATGCGATGCCCACATTAGTTTGCCTACTGTTGGCTGAAATCAACTGAAGGACCATTTTGATTAAAATAGCATACGTAGTTATGATCTACTAGTTGTGCTCTCCGATTGAATGGTTTTAAGAAGCGGGAGAATATATATATTTGACCGCCGGCTCATGGAAAGAGTCCTGATGAAGTACCTAACTAATTGAGGCAAATATACTACTAGTCGTAGTGACCCATAGTAGCTTGCAGCAAGCCAAATATTCTAGAAGGCTTATAAGGCTTATTGAATATCAAAATCCGATTTCTAAGATAGAATTGTGATAGATAATACCAAAAATCAAACCACATGGTGATCATGTCACGTGACTCGACGGTCGCAAGATCCAGAACCAATTCATCGGAAGATAATGTGACACCTCGCATTTATCATACTAAGAACCTCCCTACAGTTTCGCGCCCAATTTCACTCTGCTTAATCCCCTCGAACGGAGTGCGCAAGTCACTGTCATGGCTGCTATTGATCTATACCGTCCCGCTTCTTAATTTCCGGGCCAGTCCATGGGCTCGTTCGGTATTTTACAAAAATATCGAGCACCGTAAAACATGAATTGAATTATTAGCTTTTTCAATGGCCTGCTCTTCTGTCTCGAACGCTGTGAGGATAACCACAGGACTGAAGGTTTGCTCGTGGGAGATGATCATATTATCGGTAACATCGGCAAGCAAAGATTATCGGAAGTATAAAGAAGCCCCCGGGCTTCTTCCCTGGTGGGATGTATGGCATTAGTCTGCCAAATTGAGTCTTGGAGATCTGCGGCCCCCCACGGACCATTCCAACCACGCCGTTCTCGTTGAATTGGGCTCTGTCAGGCTAATCTGCAACAGCGATTTATTGAAAGCCCAAACGGCCAAGCGGCGTATCCATCTGGCGGCAGCCCGTGAGGTTATCTTGGCTGGGGCCGGTCGCTCGGGTCTTGAACACCCGCAAAATCGGGTCGAACAGTTTCTCCTGCAGGAATTTAATGAAATCTCCGCGTGTACACAACTGACGATGTTTAGTCGGGTTGATGATATTCTGATGGATCCACCTACCAGCAATCAGACGCGGTGCTGGCTGACTTCGTTCGCATCCATAACATCACCCAACTGGAGAGGCTCAAGACCCATGCCTTGGCCTCAGACCTGGCCCCGCCGACAGCGTCCCAGTTTTGATCTCTATGCACTGATCGAGTCGGCTAAGTCCCAAAACCTGAGAATCATTGAATCGACTGGTTTCTGGTCAGAAGGTCATCGAGAAAGGCTTTGCGACCGTGATAAATAGTAGTCAGGCTTTGGATAGGCCTCAGATTCTTAGATTTTTAGGTTCTCGTGGGATTTGGCGGCCTGTTTGTTTGCAGAAGGGAGAAAACAATGTCTACGTAGGATGGAAATAGGTGGAATCTAGGCAGCGGATGATTTCGGATCATCAGTCGAACTTGCACGAGGGCAGTCGACAGAGTTCAGTTTCCTCTTAATTTGAGATGTCAGCAGTAGAAGCATAAAATGTCACACGAGAAACGTACACCCAAAACTCCCGTCAAACCTCAGTGTCCCTAGGTATTCATTCAATCCTATCCATCCCTCGTGCTCACTGTACATCTGTAGGTTTGTTCAACAAGCCATGCCGAAGAAGTATGCCAGGGTCGATCGTAATCCACGAGCTTGAAGTTGAATATTCTGAACAACTGAGGCAAAAGCTTTGACATCTCAAGTTGCGCAAGGCTTTTGCCAAGGCACATGTACGCCCCACAACTGAACTTTAGAATCTGGTTAGTTGTTTTCGGAAGTATTGACAGGTTTGGCCTGATATAAATCGATACCTACAGTCAATAGGTTTTTCTCCATTTGGACTACCGTCTCATGATCTTGCATCCACCTTTCGGGGCGAAATACGGAGGCGTCCGGACCGAAAATCTGCTCATTATAATGTAGGGCCCAAGGATTAACTCCAACCGTTGTCTGGTCCCTGGTGATTAGTTTAGTATTCTCAGATATTACATGATAGTAAAAAGCCACGTTTCTCACCTCTGGGGGGAAGAAGGTCCCATCAATCACAGCTCCCGTTTCGGGTACAATGCGAACAAGAGAATATGATATTGGGGGATGGATCCGGAAGGTTTCTTTAATACATGCCTGGAGATATGGCATGTGACTAGCTTGTTTAAACAAAAATGATGTATTGATCTGCTCATTGACCGCGAAGCCATCAATCTCCTCACGGAGCTTTCGCAATGCCGAGGGATGTTTCAGCAGCATATACATTGCTGTCCCGAGTGAAATAGCAATGGTGTCCATTCCCGCAGCTATATTACTACCCACGGTGTTGAAAATATCTAGCCGGGTGACATTTCGCTTTTTCTCTGCCTGCCATTGTAGCAACTTCGTGAGAATTGTGTCTTTCCCCAGCCGGTCCTCAGTACAATCCATATACCGAAGAATGTGCGCCGTGACAAGGTCAAACGGAATTGGAACTCACAGAACCTGTGCGAAGGTAGCTACATGCCAATGTAGCCAAGAGAAAATCCCCATATGTGCCCCGTAGAGGATTGTGTGCCTGATAGCTTTTAGAATGCCATTGTGGTCCCATCTAGGACATACAGATATCTCTCCAATGACATCAAAGGCAAAAAATTGCATCCAGCACCGCACATCAAATAACTGTCCTGTGGCTGCAAACTCCTTGAAGCGACAGCAGAGGGCTTCTGCCTTACGATCAATGACAGCTTCGAATAATAATATCGCCGTCATCGAATACAGCGAAGCGATTTTCCGGCGTTTAGTGACATGGCGGTCACTGTTGGTCTCTGTGAAAAGATCCACTCGAGAATTGTCAGGGTCACCGAATGCATAATAGAATAAACCCTTTCTATATCAATATCCAGTTCCGTACAGTTCGGCTGCGGCGCCTGGGGTGTTCAAGCTATACCAACCAGGGGCAAGGCGAACAACTGACCCATTTCCTACTGTTAGTCTCCTATGGGTGTTATACTCTGGTGGAATGATGACATACCGTATCTTCGATGAAGCTGAATGTTTTCCAGCTCATAGCGGCCGCGGTATACGCTGGCAAATTCCCGGAGTACCGTAAACCGAGCCAGGAAGAGTCCTAGTAGGTTTGACAGAGGAGCAAAGAACACCTCCCGGCACACCCAGGCAAGCAGCACGAGGCAGCTAGCGAGTACAAGGAACAACATGGCCTTTTTTGTGAACCGAAACAATGAGTGACTCTCTAGTCCGTGGGTGATTGAGCATTAATTTCGCAAGCAAAGAGAGCGATATAAAAAAGCATGGATTTGCCTAGTACCCAAACATTCTCGGAGGCAACTTGCGTCTGGTTGTTAATTGGATGAATAGACCTCCTGAACCCTCTTGTTCGTGTGCCTGTAGAAGGAAGTTCGGCTTGTCAATGGGGCAAACAGAGACTAATATCTAACATACAGGGAAAGCACTTACTAGATGATTTCTAGGGTGCTTCAGTTAGTTAGATGGACTTCCGGTTTTGGGGGCAATCTCATGACATACTGCATGGAAAATGTGAGAAGGCACCTAAGATGGCACAGCTCGGCGTTGTAGGTGCAGATGGGAAAAGGGAATTACGCCCCGGGCACAAAAATAACCACTAATATGAAAGCTGACCCAGCGTTTGGTCATGTAAAGTAAGTAAACCCGTCTCACTGAGTTGCAGAGTTACCTTTAGACGGGGTTTCAGGGTAGGGTGTAAATGGTTAGCCGCATAAAGACCCTCCCGAACTACTGCAGACTACTACTGCATCTTTTCCATCCGTATGTGCTCTAAGTCCCCACTGACCTTTCCAAGCAGCCTTCACCCCGAAGAATTCCGCACATGATGCTTTATTTAACCGAAGTTGAAAGTTGTACGATCACCTCGGACTCACCGACTGGGGATATGCATGTGCCGACAGATGCGTATTGTCAGCACTTGCCACATAATCAGAAACGGTGTCATCCCAACAGGCCCTGTAGTGTTTGATTGCATATTCAAGTGTCAGATGTATGCGGCCAACTATATATAACAGCTACCTGTATCAGCGGAGGCTTCTCTGGATCATAAGGACAAACATTTCTACTTACATCATGTATTGGATGCTTCACGTCTGGGCATTGACAACAGGCCTCGCGGCTGCACTGACACAGTACAACACCAACGGTGGGCTTCTCCCCTTGCAATACGTATTGACTCTTCATTGACTTTGGTGGGCAATATTAAAGGCCGGTCTAAGTGGGGAACCTTGCCATCGCCAACTTTACCAAGGTTTCTCGGGGACACTCATGTAAGATCACATATCGTTGGCTTGTAGCTTGGGATGACTGATTGTTTATTCTTCAAACGCAGGGAGTCAATCCACCCTGGGGAAATACATATCCTGGGGGAAATCCCCCTGATACAGGTGTAACACGACACTACAATTTTACTATCACCCGTGGGTTCAAGGCGCCAGATGGTTACAACAAGAGCGTGATTCTGATCAACAATCAATTCCCAGGTCCTCTAATCGAAGCCAATTGGGGTGACATGATTGAGGTGACTGTTACTAATGATATCAGTACTGTGGAAGAGGGTCTGACACTGCATTGGCATGGACTCTCAATGAAAAAGACACCATGGTACAATGGTGTGCCTGGATATACACAATGTCCTATTGCGCCTGGAAAGACTTTCACCTACATCTTTCAGGCTGATCAATTTGGATCCAGTTGGTATCACTCACATTATAGTGCTCAGTATGATGATGGCCTTTACGGTCCCATGGTTATTTATGGTCCTGTGCAGGCTGAAGTCAACTATGACTATGATCTGGGCCCGATCATGCTTTCTGACTATTACCACGATAACTATTATGACGTTCTCGTGGAGGGTTTCAAGCGACCAACTGTTCTTGTTCCAATGGATAACAATCTCATCAATGGAAAAGGAACTTTTGACTGTGATTCAACGTTGACGAACAAGTGTTTGCCGGGCGCTGGCTTGTCCAAATTCCAAGTTAAATCGGGCAAATCATACCGTTTACGCCTGGTAAATACTGGGGCATTGGCTAGCCAGAAATTCAGCATTGACAATCACAAGTTGACAGTGATTGCGAATGACTTTGTCCCTGTCAAGCCTTACCTAACTGACGTGGTTACGCTTGGCGTAGGCCAACGCACGGATGTGATAGTCGAGGCTACTGGCTCTACAAGCGATTCAGTTTGGATGCAATCAGATATTGATATAATCTGCCTCAATGAGACATTAACAGTTTACAACATCTCTGCAGCAGTATATTATGAGTCTACAAATACCAGCGCTCTTCCAACAACTAGAGGCACGCCATGGAAAAGCAACCACTGCCAGAATGACCCTCTTAAGACTACAGTGCCCTATTATCCATTAGCACCACCATCAAGACCCGAAACGGTTCAGACAGTGAATATCATATTGGGCTATAATGAGACAGTCTTTCTACTCTTTTTCGTTGACGGTTCCTCCTTTCGGTCGAATTACAACGAACCTGTCTTGCTTATGACGCATGAGAATATGTCGCAGGTGTACCCCGCGGAGCACAATATATATAACTTCAGCTCTAATTTGAGTGTAAGGATCATACTGGTTAATACCTTCGCAATGCAGCATCCAATCCACCTACATGGACACAACTTCTGGGTTTTGGCTGAGGGTATGGAAACATGGAATGGGAGTATCACGAATCCTTCCAACCCCCAGCGCCGGGATACACAAATAATTCAAGCCGGAACAGTGGATGACCCGGGCTATCTGGTCTTGGAATGGGAACAGAATAACCCGGGTGTATGGCCCATGCACTGCCATATGTCCAATCACGCCTGTGCCGGTCTCGTGCTCTCTATCCTTGTTAGTCTTGTCCTATCCGGAAATCCCGCCTACTAGGGAGTATTTGAAGCTAAACCATATTCTCCATTCTGTAGGAACGCCTTGATGACATCAGAAAATTGACAATACCTTCAACACTGTCATAAACATGCCGCGACTGGGATCAGTTCAGTGACGCCAATTATGTAGACGAAATAGATTCCGGCATATGACTTTGGGGTTTTTCATCTAAATGGCAAAGAAGTGCGTGGAAAATGCTATGATACTCGACCTCGGCCCTAGCCCAATGTGTTCATCCTCGTACCAAGCTCAATCGTTTTTGACCTCAGCTGCGCCAAATGTGTAATTACGATTCGATCCAGCAAGTTCTATTTTAAGGAAAGTTCCTGATCACATGAAAAGGCGGGAAAGCATATGAGAGTAGTTTGCTGTAATTTTAATGTACAAGGGATCATGCCTAGCCAAGATTATCAGCTGGCTCTGCTCTAGACCATTCGTAATGACAGAGTATGTTTTCCCGTGGACTATTTTAAGACGGGGAAGGCCCCTTGGTCAAGTGTGCTACCCGCATCGATCAGCCCAGGTTGCCTTGGTTCCTCTGATAAAGCCTAGTTACTGTACCATCTCTTTTCTCACTAACGGATTTCGGAACAATGGCGGCGACTGACCCAGAGATACTCCTCGCCAGCCTCGAGGAATTGAAGTGCCAGCTACCCACGGATGAAGAGACTCAGAGCCGACTGTCCCAGGCCCTTCACCATGCACTGATGGCCATAGAGCGCCCCTTGGACACCGTCCGACGCATCTCCTTCGCGGTAGGCCCTTTTCACAACACCACGCTAACTGACTAGCGCAAGATTAACTGACGATGGTGGGATGATAGCCCTTGCAACTCACTATGACCAAGGTTGCCATGGACCTCAATCTGTTTGAGCTACTGGTCTCAGATGGCCGTCCAAAGAGCCTGGGAGAGCTCATGGAGTTGACCGGGGCGCAGAGCCTATTGCTGCGTAAGGATGCCCGCCCCGTTATTTATCGATGACCAATGACACCTAGTTAACCGCCCGGGCTGTCAGGCCGTATCCTCCGGTATTTGTCCGGGTTTGACCTAGTTCATGAACCGAAGGTCGACTGCTTCAAGGCCTCCCCTGCGACTCAGGCCCTCGCCTTGCCTGGTTTCGGGGCAGGGATCAATCACCAGTAATCATGGCAAACTGTGCCCCATCCTAGTAGCCCTCAACTAACACATTGCTAGCTTCGAAATCCAACTCCCCGCCTGGCAGACTCTTCCATCCTTCCTGGCTGCAAATGAATATCGCAGTCCATCCGATTCTAGCCCAACGGCGTTCCAGCAAGCCCACGGCACTGAATTGACAGCTTTCGCCTGGGCCATGGATAAGCCCCATATTTTCAAGGAGTTTAGTCTGTGGATGACCGCCCAGCGCCATGGCCAGCCCACCTGGATGGATGTGTTTCCCTTGGATCAGTTAAAATGCGGTAGGAACAATCACACCAATACGCAGTACCCCGAGGCGGACGTGGATGGCGAGGAGCATGAAGCACCCCTTTTTATTGATATAGGTGGCGGTATGGGTCACCAATGCTTTGCCCTTGTCGATAGACTAGGCCCTGAGCTAGGAACCCGGCGGCGCATTATCTTGAAGAACATCCCGGCGGTCCTCTCACATGCAATTTCGCACCCTCGCATTGACCGCTTGGTCCATGACTTCTGGGACCCGCAACCGATCTGGGGTGCGAGCTTCTACTACATGCGGAATGTGCTGCATGATTACCCGGACGACAAATGTGTGCAACTGCTGAGGCTCCAGAGCAAGGCCATGGCGCCCGACGGATCGTCAAGCCTGCTGATCGACGAGATAGTTTTTCCTGAGACTGGCGCCGGGCCTCGGGAGGTGGAGATGGATCTCGCCATGATGGCGTGCTTGGCGGCCAGGGAGCGAACCAAAGATAAGTGGGACAAACTCTTTCGGGCCGCCAGGCTGAGCTTGTTCGAGGTGTTTACCTACGCGAGTGATTTGAGCCAGAGTATCATGGTGGTCAAACGGCTAAATCCCACCGGATAATAGGAAAAGCGGTACCGATCAGTTAGTTGGTAGGCTGCAACTTGTTAGCTTGCTGCATGCAGTCAATAAATGTCACCTCCGTATGGATGCGATGATACAAGAACACTCGTACTTTGTCGAACAGCGTAGAAGCGAGTCGCGCTAAAATGTCTCGGACCCCTATCCGCTAGTGCGGTCCCCCGCCCGCCCCCTGTTGTGCAAGCAAATTGCGATGCATTAGTGCTGACGAGCGAAACTTGAGATGACCGAAAGGAAGGTACGTAGGAATATCCATGTTCAACTATGTCACCTGTCACATTTCACTCCACGCGATGTTTAGCAGCACGAAGGGATCAAACAAAATGTCGAAGCACTAACCGCTAGACCAAAAACGATATATCGCGTGGTTCTAGCCAGGCGACGGAGAGATATGTGTCCCAACACAAAATACTAAATATAAATGTATTTCCTGCCCCAACACTTACTGCCATCCATTCTCTCCGAACGTACATCCCTTTCCTATCCCAGATCTCCATATCATTTGTCGCAATGGCGGATATCGTAACCACGTTGACCTCGGCCACTAACGCTGCCCTGGCCCAGCTTAACCCCGAGGATGAAATACCGGAGGCAGCTCGGTACCAGCTTCTGGACGCCATTGACAAGCTTCGTGTGGCTGTGGAACCACCCCTCCTCACCATTCGGAATTTCTGCTTTGGGGTGAGTAGCTCACGAACCTTCAAGTGCTTGGGTCCACCTTACCAATTTATTCTCCAACTAATGTTTTTCAACCACTCTGCAGCACCATGGCCTAGTTGCCATTCGAGTCGCCATGGGCATGGGTATATTTGACGCCTTTGCCTCCGCGAAGGACGGTGAAATGACCGCTGATGCGCTGGACGAGAAGACAAAGGGGGACAAGAGCCTCTTGGGTAAGTCCTTGCTTTGGCTGTTCTTAATCTATCTGCTACTTTCTCACAAAATCTTGACTTCTTTCTTCCTCCTATCTGTTTAATTTTCAATGCTTGGTTTCTGCAGGCATCTATACACATTTCTGCTTTTATCTTATTGATATTTGATTCATGTGCGTCTTAATTTATTCGCGTTGGAGTTTCATATACACCACTGATGACTACAATGTGGATACTGATGAGTATGTGATCCTGCAGTGCGCATCATGCGAGTACTGTGTGCGAACCATGTCTTTAAAGAGACGGGGGTGCAGAAATACCAACCCCTACCGCTTGCGATGATATTTTCATCTAATAGTCCACCCAGTGAGGTGATAAAGCATTTGTGAGTTTGTTCTTGCCGAAAATGGATCGTATATTCGGCTAATATTGAAATACTCTAAGCCACTCGGACATGAAGGCGTCAGTCCATTCCCTTGACTACTTCGAAGCAAGGGGATACCAGAACCCTGAAGATGCCTACGACACGACCTTCCAGCTGGCCTTTGGGACTAAAGAACATTACTTCGAGTGGTTACAGCACAATCCAGAGGAGCTACATGCCTTTAATACGGTGATGGAAATCGGCAATCGCTCTCTGGAGGGTGTGCAATGGTATGACTACTATCCATGGCAGGAGAGGCTGGCTACTACCGGTGGTACAGACCGTGTGCTCCTGGTGGACATCGGTGGTGGCAAGGGCCATGACATTTCAGGCTTCAAGCGCAAATTCCCCGACATAAAGAACCAGCTCATCGTGCAGGATCTCCCTGGGGTTATTGGGGACATTGACGAGCCGCTCATTGAAGGTGTAACAGCTGTCGGCTATGATATGTTCCACTCACAGCCCATAAAAGGGGCCAAGGCATACTACATGCGTACTGTTCTACACGACTGGCCTGATAAACAGGCACTGCAGGCTCTTAGCCGTGTTCATGACGCCATGGCTGCTGACTCAGTGCTACTGATCAATGAAAATGTCTTGCCCGAAATGAACGCACCGGGATTCTCAGCTTCGATGGATATCATCATGATGGAGCTATATGGATCAATGGAACGGACGGAGAAGCAGTGGCTTGGATTGTTGGACAAGGCTCAGTTTAAAGTGCTTAAAGTATGGCGGTCGGGCTTCCAGGGAACTGGATCCAATGCCTTGTTCGAGGCGGTGCCTGTTTGACTGGGCGAGGAATCTTGTGCCTGGATAGTATGGCCAAGGGGCTGGGTTACCGGTCTTATGGACGTCTTGATAGTCTCAATATTCGAAGACACCTGACCATATAATTTGTTTGAATTAATTCGTTACTTGGATGCTCTATGGCCTTAGAAAAGACTAGCAATTCAATAAACACACAATCCCGTCAACGCTGCCGGTGCTTCATCCAGACACAGCAGGGCTCTGGCCTCTCTAGGCCGGTCTCTCCACCAGTAACAGATCACTGCCCTGATACTAGAGCTAAAGCTGGATAGAAAATGACATAACACACCTCAATACTACCGGCTTGGGATGCCTTCCCCACATACACATTCCAGAGGGCAGAAACAAAATATTCACGGAAATTGTGGTAAGTACAGGATTATCCATAGTCGAAAAGTAAGTGACCACAGCCGTGCAACTATCGCGACACACACAAAAAAAAAAGAGTTGAACTCCAGCAAAACACATTCATACAACGACTATCTCGCCCTTCAACTTCCCGGGTGGTGTCATTGAGTGGTTCCCCTGTCAACTATCTCTCGAGTCTTCTTTAAATGCTCACCTGCCGGTATCACCTGGCTAGTCTGCATAATCTGGACTGTTCGCCAAACTTGATCTGGTGATTCATCCATAGGTACCGGATCCTCTCTATTACAAGCGACATGCTTGAAGCTTTTATTTGGCCCCATGGACTCCACGTAGGCTGATACCTTCACTGGAATTAGCCTGTACGATGAATTGGACCCCGGATCGTAGTTCGAGCCGCTGTTCGACACACTGATTGGCTTCCTTTTCATGACAAAATCCCACACTGGTTTTGATGGCGGAATGCACGCGGCAATTATCACAAACGGTAGCTCCAGCGACGCCCACATATATAGTGAGTAACTCCCCCATGTGGGGTCACTCAGGCTGGCCGCAGCCGAAAACTTGGATGTTTTAACACAGGCGCAGACACCAGCGCTTTGTATTGACATGGATTAAGTTAGTAATGATGGACCTTAACGGAGGGGCGCCGGCAGTAGTTATGTGATCGAGGAATGCTGGGAATACTTACATGATCCCGAGACCAAGAATTAGACAAAGGGCCATGCGTTTTCGCATATCAACTCGAAGCTCGATAAGGAACGTCAAGGGCAGGAGGGCTAGAGCAAAATCCAAGTATGCGCCGAATGCTGGGATAAGACGGTGGTCAGTTTTGTGTACCAGAAAGTAGCCCGAGGTAAAAAAGAAAAAAGCAAAAGCAAAAGCAAATAAACAAGTCTCGTGCTAGCTTACCAGCCTGCAACATGGATATATCAGTATTAATCATCGGCTCGATACAGGTCGCATGCCCTGATCTGAGTAGACTTTGATCCCAAAGGGCGCTGATCGGCCTACATTGCCCAAAAAAGACTGCGACATTGACTACACTGATGACGGCGTACAAGACAACATTTATAATCAGGAACAAACGGCGCCATCTAGAGGTGTGCCCTGAGATACGTGAAATGAATAGAGCCACGCTGCTTTTGCCAAAAAGTGCACCAAAGACACCAAAAGGCTGGTTTATGATTTCCAGCTTAAGGACGAACAGCAGATCACTGGTGGCTACATACTCAATGTGCCGCACACCTCCGTGTTGCACCATCAACGTACTCAACACCAGACCGATGACATATAAGACCTATTTGGAGAAGTTTGTCAGCTGCGTTGCACCCAGCACTTTGGTCTATATACGACACTTTACCCATGAAGGAAGAATTGCCCAATCATCCAAACCCAATTCATGCCGCGCAATGCGACTGTAGAAGCGTGTACATACTAGTAGAGACGCGCATGGGAAGGGTATCCAGAAACATGCCAGCAGGTGGGCGCCTCGATCAATGTTTGGGAGGGCGGATTCTGACATGGCAGCCTAGCTTGACACACGTATAGGCGAAGGAAATTGCATGTATGGGACATGACAGGACCGGTACTTTGGGGACCGAAGAGCGCGGCGCTACTTAAGAGACTGATGGAAACGAAAGCAACAGCTAATGCATTCATATCACACGAAGTCCACTAGACCAAAATCCGCATTGCGATGATTACTGTATTCACAGTCTACATGTGGTTCAAGACGGACATATCCAACCAGAGATTGGAAGTACCGCCAGTGGCAGGAGCAAGAGGCCTGGTGAGGGTCAAGCCCAGTGGGGGCGGGGGGCAAGGCGTTCGACTCGCTTAGATATGGACTTACATGTTGTTAGCAATTGAAGTAAAATGACTGGCTAGCCTTGTCGAGTAACATATCATGTGTTACGGGGTATATGAAGGAGCGCAGCCTTTCAGCCAGGGCCTTCGCGCTAGGGAGTGTGGCGCACAGACCTCGGGCTTGTCCGGCGGAGACCGGGCTGTAATTACAAGTCAGAAAAATTACGCGAAGGACCCCACTGTGAACGGAGGTTACCGGCAAATCCGGGCAAGATCAACTTGTGCTCAGGAGAGATGTGTCAAACCTTAGGATCGCTTCGCTGTCCTGGTTAGCTTAGCTTTACTGATATATATACTGTCAAACTGGGTCGAGGAGGTATCAGGCTAATAATTATCTAAGAATAAGTAGTCTTAGATAAGAGAGGAGAAATAAGATTAAATAATACTATACAACTATTTATAAGCAAGTACAAATAAGTGTGTATTGTTACTAAGCTCTAAATATATAGTTATTCAAAAAACAATAGTATTAAGCACGAAGAACAGAACTATTTAAGTCGAAGGCGATGTATGAGCGTAATGTATCCATAGCTCGAGCTATGTTCTGAAGACGGTCTCAAGTTTTCAATTGGTTTCCTGTTTTCTTCCGCAAGATATTGCCGAGGCTAATTTCAATGGTATTGCGTTTGCGCTCATAATAGAAGGTCTGGATTCTGCGGCTTACAACAACGCGCGTTAGGACCTCCCCAGATAACTTGCCCCACAAACGACATTTTTGACCGTTCAATAACAAGAGGGGTTAGGAAAACGCCCATTTAAGTAAAATAAAAGCAGCCTTATGCAGAATTTACGGAGCCGCCATGATGAAAATCTGAGGACGACTCTTGACCAACAATCACCCAAGCCTCAACCCACACGACCGGACAATTCTCACCGTTTGGCATCTTTTACATGTACCGGAAGTGTCCAGATGACGTATAGATGTTTCCATGACTTACGTGATGGAACGATATATTACATCTGCTACCTGGCTAGATAGGGGTTGACGGACAGACCTGCGTTCACAATTTTCAGATCACGTTTCATTCTTTTTCAATTTCTTCTTCAAAAAGCAGGATGTATGGAAAGCTGCCTCTCTTCTCCGATAGTATACCATATTATCGTGTTCTGTTTGGACATTTGAAAGGAAGTTGAATCAATCAGACCAAGGATCCCACCCGTCTGGCCAGCCAGCATTCCTAGCATACTCGGACAAGCAAAATTCGTCATCGTCACCAATATCGTATTCGAACTCATTCCTTAACACCCGAGTTTTATGCTGGATATCTTGAGTAGACGACGTGGTCAGATTTCGTTTGGCCTTGCTCTTGTGCCGGCTTTTTTTGCCCTTTTGTCTCTCTTCTTTCCGTCGAAGCTCTGCCCATGACTTTAACTGTTCCGGGTTTCTGATGCAGAATATGATCACGTCGCGTACCGCATATGCGTCTTCCAAAGCACTGTGCGCACGATCTCCGCTCTGAATCTCCAAATCCAAAAGAGTTTTGGCCACGGCCTTCAAGCTCCAAGCGCGAGGTAAACTCTCCGTGGGGCTAGTAGCTGGAAATACAGCCTCCGCAGTCAAAATGGCGGAGTCAACAATTTTGTTGTGACAGATTCCCAGAACCTCAAGGTCATAATTAAGGGATTGGCCAACGAAAACGGTGGATGTATCGGCAAATTGCCATAAATTCTCGCGCGCTTCTCGCCAATCTCTGAATGCAGCGCCAGATATCGTGGCGCTTGTCATAACATCTTGGGTTATTCCGGTAATTTTTGATCTCCAGTCAATGACCTCCTCGGATGGTGCTACGTAGCGGCTAATGAGAACATCGCCTGTCAAAAAGTCAATGGCACTCATGAACGCGAGAGTTTGCCGATTGTCTTTGACACCGATCATCTCACAATCGAGTGCGATGGCATGTCTCTTGAGTCCAGGCTGTTCCGCAGACGGCGTTTCGCGAAATTGATAAGTGGGAATGGACCCCTTTCGTGGAAAGTCTTTATTCCTTACTGTGACTGGCCCTAGGATGTATCCTTCTCTCCGAAGGCGGCTCTCTGAATGGCAATTCGAACGCAGATACCTCAGGATTAGACACTGTTCAAGAGGATGCAGAATGACGTTGGTGTTTGTGTTGAAATCGAGTCCTAGCCAAGAGTTTCCCGGATACCAAGTAAGTCTTTATGTAGATCACTTAGTCGCATGGGCGACTGCAAAAGGGAGCAAAGATTGAGAGGGTTGTTACCATTAGCATCAGTTACACCCGATGCGATCAAAGGCAATTGAAAGGGCAAGTTGATCGGATCACGCTCCTCTCCGAAATGCATTATATTTCCGACAGCTGTCAGTGGAGTTTCTTGAAAGTACATTTGGCCATTTCCGAGGGGTGCTGGCGACGTTATTGTCGGACCTGCTGAATGCTGGTTAAAAGCCTTTCTCTCCTGAATGGGCTTTTTCGTATTGATTGGAGCTTCCCGAGCTTTGACGTGCTTTTGATAATGCTGTATGACTGCCATGCCGCTGCCGAATGCCTTTTGGCAGACCGTACAACGCACAGAGTGAGATTGCTTCTCAAAGTGCTTCTGAGCCTCCACCAAGCTGCGGAACCCTCCTCTCTCGCATCCTGGACAGGAAAAAGATAATTTCTGCATTCCGAAGTCAAAATTGCAGTCAGCGCGTGTGCTTGACTTGCTGTTTTTCGAAAGGTCACCCCGAAGATTAGTAGGGGGTCTCGCGCTTTTTAAGTTTCTGCCCAACCGTCACCCAATTCTCATGGCACCCATGCATAGTATCAGCGAAATCCATTGGTAGCTGCATGCAGGGATCTGTGACCTGACGGCGCACGGCACTTACGATCCCGACCGTGAGAAGCCAGCGCACTAGAACACAACTTCGAATACCATCAGAGAATCGAACTGGTCCCTGTGACATTCTCTCGGCTCGAACTTGGTATGAAATATCAAGTATGGAAGTAAGGAGAATATCCAACACTTACACCCAATAGACCTCGGAGGAAATGGAGTTCGTTTGTCGCTACTCAAAGCACTATGGACATAGTACTCAACATCGCGCTCTTAGTTCCTTCCACAAATGCAAATGGAGCATCATGCACCAGAAAAGAAGGTATGCGGCCCTTACAGATATGGCATGTATCTCGGACAGGGGAATGTTACTCTGAAATTTAGAATTGACAGCATCGACAATGACAGTCGAGTTCAGGTTCTAGGGATTCTAGTAGAGAAATCTTCACAACGGGACAACAGTCAAATGATATCAGATAAGTTCAAAACTATTATTATTCAAAAGTGCTTTACACACAGAATATAATAATATAATTTGTATTTTTGTGATGGCAAGTGACGTGACTGAAACATATGATATAGTTTTACTTAGTTTATTTATTATATATATCTTATTTTATATATTTTATTTACTTTGTTTTACTTTACTTACTTTGATTATTTATATAATGTTAGGGGTCGCCCCTTGGTCCCAAGGGTATATTGCCTGTTGGTACAGGAAGGAATGGCTGGTGTTTAAATAAGAGTCTTAGGTAGAGTGGCTATACCTGACCGTTATACCTTAACCGTAACCTGACCGTTAACTGGCGGTCAGGTTAAGGTATAAAGTTCCCCTTAACTGTATAGTTAAGGTCAGGTTAAGGTTAAGAGATTACTCCAGCAGTTATTAACTGTCCTTAACTTCAGGTTAGAAAGATCAGGTATAGCAGGTAGGTTAACAACTACAGGTTAATTAGTAATTTTTACAGACCTTTTATAATAGTATTTTACTAATAGTAATATATTTTAAAATACAGTATTATAAATAATCTATATTATCTACTAATATAAAGTTTCAGTTTATATTATTGGTTAGTAAATATTAATATAGATAATTAAAAAGATTCTGTATTAGATTTTTATAGAAGACCCCAGATAATAAGTAGTAGTTATATTCTTAGACTGGAATACTAGTAATAATAATAAGATTATTATCTATTTTATTCTTTATATTATCCAGGTCAGTGGTCATAATAGCAGAGAAATTATATAATTAAAATATTTATCTATACCTAGATATATATAATATTAGTAGACTAAGATAAAGATAGATTTTCTAATATTTTATTCTTTAGATTATTATCAAGATTATCTATATCTTCTTAATTAATAATATATAATATTATTATTGGCTCATCATCCTCTTCATTATTAATTATAAATATAATATTAAAAGTAAAATCATTAAGAATATCCTGATATTTCTTATTTATAATAAAATAATTAATACATATCTGGAGTATAAGTATCTTAATAATATCTAGAAATAAACAGCTCCGGCGGTAGTAATAAATATCCTGAGAATTATTAAATAAGTATTTAATACTAATACTATTTATTATAACTATTAGAAAGTCTCTGGCCATGTAGTAGAGAATAGAGTGGTTATACCTGACCATTATACCTTAACCTAACCTTAACCGTAACCTGACGGTTAGGTTAAGGTATAAGAATTCTTTTAACCATACAGTTAAGGATAGGTTACAGTTAAGAGATTACTTTAATTAATCTTAACCACCGGTTAGAAAGATCAGATATATTCAGAAGATTAATAACTGTAGATTAATTAGTAATTTATACAGAGTCTTTACAAGAATAATATACCAGTGGTAATATATTTTTAATTACTGTATTATTAGAACA